CGACAAATTTCTCTCTGTAGATGGAGCGACTGCGGATAAAGATGAAAGTAAACAGGATTCAGATTCTCTCGAAGTCACCAACAATAACTCGGCGGAGGTCAGTGTTAATGGAGGATCGGATACTGAAGCTACAAAAGCGGAAACCTCGAAAATTGGTGATGACAAAGGTAGTCATATTCGAACAACCTCGACCCTTAAGAAACCAGTTCCATCTTTCAAGGCAGTTTCAGTAAACAAGACATTTTTGGCATCGAAAGCTTCCACGGCTGCAGTCCCATCGAAGGCTGGAGATAAAGGTCCTGCAGTTTCTAGTACTGCGCCAACAACTCTGACAGCTTCAACCTCAACTACACCAAAACCTAGATTGGTCGCGAAATCAGGCAGTGGCCTCCGTGATTCAACTCCACGAGCTTCAACTACCGCAAATGGTGGGAAAGCTGGTGGTGCTCCGGATGCGAGTGCCGTGTGGAACAAAAATAGACGTATGTTACACAATATGTTGAAAGGGGGAATATTCTAACATATGATAGCTGCTGCCCCACCAGAGCCAAAGCGATTTACGGATGAAGAACTCAAGCAACGTTATGGTATTCATTTAGCGACTAGATTACAATCCGACGACCCTGGTAAGCAGGCAAACTGGGCAGATATCGACGACGACGATGATGATTGGGCACCTGAATCAATTGAATGGACGGATGGCACGAAAATTACTCTACCGCACGCAGATGATGCACCCCCTCCACCTCCCGAGCCGGCACCAGAGCCTACGCCAGTCGTAAAGGAAATTAAAAAAACCGAACCCCCACCAAAACCATCAAAATCACCAGCACCTCAGGCGATCGTTGCTCCTGCTCCTCGACTTGGGTCCGGAAAAGCTGGATTGGTGCTCAAAGGTGCTCCTGAAAAACCTACTCTCGTTGCAAAACCACCTGGACCTCCAACACCTGTCAAATCTCCATGGGCTCAACTTCCTCCAGTCGAAAAAGTGGCCCCTGTCGCAATTGACGTTCCCCAACAATCTCAGCAAAACAGATTCAACCAACGCGATCCTCATGGATTTTCTGGTATGCCACAACCACCTGCGAAGGAAATTGCGGCCGATGATTTCAGCCGAACATGGAGAGAAAGCAACGCACATGCTAATCGGGAGCTCTATAATTCGCAATCTGGTCGGTATGAACCTGTTAATGAGGGTCGACGTGGAGTTTCTAGGTCCGATGGACAATCTCGTGGTCCTGCAGTGCTTCAAAGACCATCGCATCAAGATGGACCCGCAGAGCCATCTGCTGCTTTTCAAACTCATCACACGAGCGCGCAACAAGGCAATTATGGACGCCGTCGCACTTCTTCTAATGTTAGTGGGGGAAGTGGAAATTTTGCTAGGCGTATGAGCCGCGGTCATGATATGCCACCACCTCACGAAATGTTAAACGCACGCAGAGGCTCATTGGCAGCTGTAAGTGATGCGCCGTCTTCGCCAAGAAATTTCTCCCCGTCTGGTCAAAATTATCCAAACCAGCAACATCAGCAACGAGGTTATCAAAACCAAAGTCAACCATGGCAATCTCGCGCATCACCAGCTGTAAGTCATGCATCTCCTCATTCTACTTATGGACAACTTGCTTCAGGTTCGGGTGATATGCACATGCATGGTCAAGGTCCACCACAGGGCCCACCAGTGGGCGCCGCACGTGACGATAATGCTTTGGAAGAACAAAAGATTATCATGAGACGAACTCGTGAACTTGCGATCAAGAGAAGACAAGAGGCTGAAGCCAAAGAGGAGGCTGAGAGAAAGGAGCGTATTCGAATCAAGCTTGAAGCGATGGGCCCACCTCCAGAGAAGAAAAAGGTTAAGGACGAACCGGTCAAGGAGGAAAGCGTTCCTACCTCAATTCAAGCCCGCGAAGGAAAAACACCTGTTCTGACAAAATCGACGGAAACGGATACCTCTAATGATGTTCACGTGCCTAAATCGGAAATCACAAATGAAAATGATGATGCGAGTCACATTGAAGGAAATTCTACAGGCTCCGAATCGCGATCAAATGGTGTCTTCCAGCCAAGTGCTTCGGCGCCTACGCAACAAACTATGCCCGATAACCGAAATTCACAATCATGGCAGAGAAATTCAGCTTCAAATTACCCGGCTGATAGATTCACTTCATGGTCAGCTGCGCCCCCACCACCACAAAATTCATCTTCGCGGATTTGGGGACCTCCCACAAATGAAAAAACAATTGGAAACGGTACTTTTAATCCAGAATTGAATAGGCTTCCTGAGATGTCTCGCCCATCACTCTCAGATATGCCTCATTCAACTGCTCATCCAGGACCAATTGGACCACCTGGCGCAAACCGTGGCAATGGGTCTTATCAGGCAAATCGTGGTCAAAACCAATACAACTCCCGACCACCTCCAATCGGACCTCCATCAGCGAACAGAGTACCTCAGCCACCAAGATCATACGAGGATGAACAACGAAAAGCTATGGCTAGACAAGTTTGGGGTGGTGTACCTGATAGAATATCACAAGAGGATTCAATTCTTCATCAACAGAATCAGGAGGAAATGGAGCGCAAACGTGAATTAGAAGCAGCCGGTATTGTAGAGGAGCTTCCTCAGCCTGTCTACGAAGACACCTGGAAGCAAGTTACTTTAAATGAAGATGGCACAAGAAGTAAGACGAAGAAGGTTTCGACTTGTTTAGTTGATGGAAGACCGTCGAATCCTTCAGTTTTGACGGAAAATGCTTCTCACGGCAATGCTCGACCCGATTTATCTCGAACACAGTACAACAACAATGCATGGCCGGGTCAAGAGACTAGCGCATCAGCACATCGAGAGTCGAAGTTCTTCCCGAGCCACAATCGCGATGTTCGCCTTGAAGAGATGAATGGCCATGGTTTTGAACGATCATCATCGCCATCTCCACCTCCACCTACCATGGCTGGTCACCCGGCTTATGATAGCGACTTTGCACGTCCACATGTTGCTCTACCACCTCCATTACCTGTGGTTAGATTGCCACCTCCGACCATCGTTGCACCAATTGCTCCTCCCCGCCCAACCTCTTTTGCAGCCGCAGCCGCAGCCCCTGCAGTTCCTGCCATCAGTCAAATTCCTGGTATGGTAGCCCGTCAAGGACTCGCGCGGGCTGGGTCAACTTCTTACGACATTCGCAGAGGTGCACCTTCATCCACCCAAACAGGAGAATGGAAGGAAAAAATTGATCAATTGTTCGGCAAGAAGTCTCCACCAAGAACTCACGCTCTTGCTGTCGATTCTTCTAGCAGACGCGCATTCGATCATTCATTAGAGTCACAAACTTCTACCACCACTGTGGTTTCCCTTCCTGGCTCCGTCAACGATAATTTGATTGGCGAACAAGAATCACTCGACACAAAACCGGCTGCGGAGGAATGCTTTGAGGAACAAGAGATGGGCTCGTTACCTGTTATTAGAATGCCACAAACTACGCCACCAAACGCCTTTCAACTTGCTCCCCCTCCAAGAAATATTCCTCGAAAGTTCCTCATGTCTGATACAACATCCGCAGAATCAATGCAATTTCCTCTGGAGATCAGCAACAATGTCGGTTCTCTTGTAATTTTGCTACCCGGTCAGGAAAAATCTAAATCGGTTCAACTACAACTACCTCGAACTAGAAGCAACCCGCGACGTGGACGCGGCGGATCAAGACAAACTTCGTCAACTCATCCAAGAGGTAGCCGTAGTGGAAGAGATAGCAACAATGGCTCTTCCTCCACCCCTCGTGAAACCCAACCTTCAAATACAAACAACACTTCTGGGCGTGGCCGTGGTGGAAGAGGATTTGGGAATAATAGTAGCTGGAACCGCCATGCTGCCACACCAGTTCACACTTGAATGTCAGAATAGTTCAAGAAGACACAATAATGGTCATCATATTCTTTTACGAATATCGAACCTTTAACGTGTATCTATAAGAGCAACCTTTTTCTTTCTACATAACACCACTTTTTCCTTCAAGATATCTACACTTGTAACTTCGAAACCCTCATAAGTGGGTTATTGTCTCGTCAGCGATCATTAAGCAATTTGGGTTGCAATATGGATCGCAATGTACATTTGCACGCAGTCATGACTTGCTTCTTACTGTTTTTCGAGAGGCATAGGCATAGGTTTAGATGACATGAAGGTCATTATTTACGACGATATGAGGGGTAACAAAAAGGGATCATCTGGACATTGAAATATTCATGAGGATTCCTAAGATACTCTCAATCATAAGTACTTCATTGCAATATGTTTTGCTCTATGGCTGTACATTCGGGATGACAGCAATGCCAAATGGAAATGGCTTCTTAACACAATTTTCAGATGAATAAAATATTTAAAATCATGAAAACACATACAAAATTTTGATGAATATGATGTGAATTCTATGTGGATGATGAAAGCGAGCGATACACTCAATCACCCGAATGGAATCATGTTTCAATCTTTTTGATGAATGATACCAGGGCAACAAACTTCATGGTATTATATATTCAATATTAATATACCAAACGCAAAATAGACACATCAAAACGTTTCTTTGTTTCCTATACATTATCAATTTTCAGCTACTAATATCCTTTTATCTTTCTCCCTGTCATCCATCATCAAATCCCACTTCTGCTCGACAAAGGCCGTCCACTATTTATGTCGATCTCAACGAAAATGATTGAACTCCGTAGCCACACAACCCCTCCAATACCCCTCTGAACATGCTGGAATCTACATTGGAGGTGATGCTTTATTACAAGTCAAATAAGAATGAGCTCCATTTAGAAAGGATCAGATGTACTCGTAATGTACCCGTGGTATCCTGAAATGATCATGATTTATCAAGTTGATTTGTAAAGCTAAGGGTGCACTAAGAGTCCGTGCGCACATTATTATATCATACCATCAGATAGTTATCTTATCAAACATCAAACATCTACCTCAACAACCACATTATACATCCATCATGACCAAAAATTATCCCTCTGTATCTAAATCTATGATTTATCCACCAAAGAAACAGATTAATCTACTGAGAGGCTGGCCTAATACTTCTCTTCTTCCCACTTCGTACATTCAGAATGCAGCAAATAAAGTCCTTACAAACCCAGATCTAGCTAATCCCGGATTATTATATGGACCGGATCCAGGGCCATCAAGTATGAGGGAGAGTGTTGCGATATGGCTTCGAGAGTTTTATTCTGAGTATTATCTTTCTTCTGGCTCCAACTCAGAAGAAGAAAAGAATACTCGGGAACCATTGAATAAAGATAATCAAGGTACACAGACAAGTCCAGAAGCAGATCGGATATGTATTACAGGAGGAGCATCGCAAAATCTAGCGTGTATATTACAGACATATACAGATCCACTAGTTACGAGAGTATGGATGGTTACGCCAGGGTATTTTTTGGCGGGGAGAATCTTTGATGATAGTGGATTGAGAGTGAGAGCAGTTGGGGAGGGTGATGAGGGGGTGGATTTGGAGGGATTGAAAAGAATGATGAAGGACGCAGGCAAGGAGGATAATGGTGTCGAGGTATGTTAGTTATTTCACGTGATTTGAAACATGATGATGTCTACCAGTATTCTAGATTTATGAAATTTGGTATATGACATAATAGCAAGGAATGACGCTAACAAACGTGGATAGCCTATCAAAGACTCAAAATCGAGACCATGGGGTAAGATCTACAAAAATATTATCTACTGCGTCCCAACCTTTTCAAATCCGTCTGGAAAAACAATGTCACTATCATGTCGCACTTCTCTGGTCAGATTGGCTCGCAAATACGATGCGTTAATCGTCACAGATGATGTCTATGATTTTCTCCAATGGCCTACATCATCATCTTCCCCTGATACTCCTCTTAAAAAGGCTTTACTTCCCCGTCTCGTCGACATTGACCGTACACTCGAACCTATCCCTGATGCAGCTAGTTTCGGAAATGCAGTCAGTAACGGCTCATTCAGTAAAATAGCAGGACCAGGTGTTCGTACCGGATGGGCTGAAGCAACTCCAAAATTCGCGTTGGGATTGAGTCTAGTGGGTAGTTCGAGAAGTGGTGGATGCGCAAGTCAGTTGACTGCTACTATTATTGATCAAGTTTTAAGATCGGGAGATTTAATGAAACATATTGAGGGGGTACTTCAACCTGCTTATAGGGAGAGATGTGTGAGAATGATGAGAGCGATTGAGAGGGAATTGGGTCCATTAGGTGTGACGGTTGAAAACACGGGAATGGAATCGGGTGAAACAAAAGCCTTTGGAGGCTATTTCATTTGGTTGAATTTGCCAGATGGAATTGATGGTGATTTGGTAGCGCAGATGGCATTGGAAGATGAAAATCTTGTGGTAGCTAAAGGAAGCATTTTCGAGGTGCAAGGGGATGAGAGTGTGAAGTTGTCTAGGGGATTGAGACTTTGTTTTTCGTGGGAGGAGCCGAATGATTTAGAAGAAGGTACTGTGAGGTTAGGGAGAGTTGTTAAGAAAGTTTTGGAAGGAGGTGTCCTAAGAAGTGGGAATGGAAGGGAAAATGGAAAGAGTCTTGCGGAATTCAAGTGATTATGATAGCATTAGAGCAGGCGCTTTTGAATAGAATCCTCTCTATAAGGAAATCGGCTTCAATCAATCTTGAACGACTTAATTGAACATTCGGATCCAAGTCTTAGGAATTCCTAACATTTGGCGGTGTATGATTACTGCCAACTGGGCTCATCTGTCTAGTAAGCGACAACGGAGAGTCTATCGATAACACTATCGAACGCACTATCGATCGAATGAAAAGATCAATTCCATAGCTATTCTCAACATCAACTTGTATATGATGGTAAGAATGCGCTTCATTAAAGGGTACCAAGGCCCCAATTGAAATACTATTAGACTTTGAAGTTGCAAGTGCAGACACTTCAAATATAGATGACGGAGATTATGCATAACGATGATTTTAAACGAGAGAGTTATTGCCTGATTTTCAGAAGACGAATTCTACATAACCATAAACATCTTTCCATCCCAACGGGAAGGTAATAACTCAGGAATGTATGCCCAGTCGAATAGGGGTCGGGGAGGAGCGAATAGATCGTGCCATTACTGAGTCCTGGCAAACAAAACAGTCTTTCATCAGCGCGATAACTTGCATGTATTGAAATAAGTTAGAAACGAATCTGATACCTTACTATATACACAGAAATCAAAATCTATATACTTTCTGCATAAATCTTCAAGTGCGTCAGCAACTATGGTAGCGACTGTACCTTCAATCATGTCCTCATCTTTGTCCCATATAAAAGTCTACTAGACAGCCACAAAACGAGCGCACAAGCTGTCCTATCTAATCTCATCACGTCATAATACTCGACATGAATCATCGTTCAGCAAAAACTACACCCTGACCTTCCCCCATAGCCTTTAACTCCACATCCCTCACTTCACTCCAACTCATCTCCAATTCTTCTAACTCATCTCCAACTCTTCTAATCACCCTATACAGCCCCTATTGTTGATAAACCTTAACCGAATTAATCAACCAATAAGCTGGCGCAAACGCCGCAGGATTCGCTCCTACATACGCGTTACATGTACTCGCAACAGTAGCACAATTCCCACTCGACCAAACAGATCCCGCCCAGTCCCCACAGAATGTCGTATCGAAAACAATTTGTTGATTCGCAAAGAAACTATCAATATTACACCCACTTCCTCCATTAAATGCCACGAGGGGCAATCCCCAATTACCCGTTACGGGGTTTCCGGCAGTGACATCAGCGGGTACACTACCTCGAGGCCAGAACCAGACATATATACCGGAGGATTCCCATTGCATGGCATAGACACCGCCACCGACAGAGTTGAAACCATTTCCGTAGGAATTGGCTTTATTGGTAAGCACACCGCATCCATTGTAGCCGCTGTTAGAATTGCAATTCGGATCGCTCAAGGTAATACCGGGTTGAGAACCAGCTGTATTGATTACGCAGCCGGGTCCGGTATGTAAGGTCATGCTGTTTGTGCCGGCGAGATTAACACCCTCGATGACGTCGATTTCTCTAAGATATAGTTAGAATTTCAGGTGTGGTGGAGAAGTCCAGGTATAAGCGAGAGAAAAGAAAGATTCGAAAGAACTTACCCTCCAAATGGCCAATTAGGACCAACGAGCCAAACTAGAAGAAGTATTATTCAACCATTTAACCTAAACTTTTCGAAAGAATTACTTACAAGCGGGCCAGACTCCGCAGATTGATCCAGGCATATGGGCAATATCAGCAATGAAAAGACCATGATTATATGCCTTATTACTCGTAAGTCTGACTGATGCACGACCAGCTGAAGGGTTAACCGTTTTATGATCAACACCTAAGTAGACTTGGCCATGATTGGTGTTGATGAGACCTTGTGCTGAGGCAGCTGATTGAGATTGATATGATACATATCCATGAGTAGGATCTTCACCCGTGAAGAAGCTAAAGGAAGAGAAGAAGTTGGCAGAGTTGTAAGTGTCCTTGAGGTTATAAGTAGCAGTGGCATACTGCTGATAGGTTCCTTGAATATATGGAGCAAGAGCGGTAATTTTGAGAGGTAAGGATAGTAAGAGATTCGTGTAAAGGAAGGTAGATCTAGGAGACATCTTGATTGATCAAGGATAGATGTGTGGAATGAAGATGATTACACAAGAATTTGCAGAGGCTGTAAAAGCCAATGAATATTACGCGTTAAGGAAGGGAAATTCAAGAAGTCAAATCAGAAGGAGTGTAAGATCTGCCATTAGAAGATTCAAAGTGGACAAGATGAGCACTTATATGCTCACTATAGAAAGAGCTATCACTTTCCCAAGACGAGAATGAGTGTTTAATTAGATCACTTGCTATGAACCACACCACCGAGTTTAGATATCATTTCCGTCTTGTGAGTGTAACATGCTTCCTTGCTCATCAGAGTTACAAAAGACACACAGCGAAGGATTGCAACGTAATCAAGGTATCTCCTGATATCAAAACCATGTGCGAAAATCCGGGGTAGTGTTCCAATAGTCCGGATTTTAGTCTGACAATTGCGAAACTTCCAATTTCTCATTTCAGTGAAACGATTCAGATAATTCGGGGTACTAAATTCTACCTCGACTGAGATATTACTTTCTTTTTGCACAAACAGTCCTAGTTCTGACTTGATGGAACAATACTGAACATTGTATTTCTTTTCAAATATCAAGAACTTGCATTCAATCCACCCTTCCGCACTATTTGATGCTCTAATCCGGAGTATTTGATCATCTCAATTCTTGGCATGCCTGGACCTGAAGAATTCAATGTTTATTCGCCGAATTGCACTTTCCAATTTGACTTGCAATATCCGAATCCATAAAGCTTGGGCTTGACAAGAGACAGAAGGCAAAAGGCAGGCAGTGATACATATGACTGACCAGAATATGCGAACACTATCCCCACGAATGAAAGTTATGAGAAGACTTATTATATCTTATCATTTACGCCAACCTCAAAGCCACAGTGTATGTAGTTCAATGTTGGTCGTTTCCCGTGTATCCATGTATACTCTTTTTAATTAAGGGGTATTGCTACGGAATATTTATGACCACTTGAGACACAAAGATCTGAGCCTCAGCCACTCGACAATCTGACAGAAGTAACCTAACCACTAAGTGAGCCCTGCAGAAATTACAGATTACCTATTGAATTGCCAAATGAGTGTTGAAGATTTCGTTTCAAAGAGTGTCAGCAGCGTAGTATCGATCTTTGAATTATGCGTTGTTTACCCTCGTGAACCAAATTACCGGACCCTTTTCTTTATCGGCTGATATCTTCATCTAGTACTTCACAATCATTTGATCGTGTATTACCACCGAGTATAAGTCCGAATGAATTTATTAACACTTGTCTTGTTCTTCCTTGGTATTTTTTGACCATGGGGAAAGATCCTAGAAAACGCGGGGATGTAAGACCTCGGTAGTGGTTGTGCATGACATGGTATTGTATCGTGGCGTTCACGGCATGAAAGGATACTTTACTACTTATAATTTAATAAGCATGTTTTTAACCATACAAGTAGCTTCATACTGGCTTAGTTTATCGATCCTTCCGAAGTATGAGATTCAGTCTAATTTACAATCCCGTCAACATCTAGTGACATAGATTGTATTGATTGTTTAAGTGGAACTGAGTCTTAACCCTATAAGATCCCAGTAGTGATTTTCCCATCCGACGCAGTACATAGATCTAGTTATATCTTAGGAATTGTTCATGGAGATCCGATCACATTGAATTTTGCAAACGCGAAAAAGATTAGTTGTAGTTTAAAAGAAGTATAAATTTCAATACTTATTTGGATACTTTTCTTCGACTGTCGAAAACAGAGGAAATCTTTTTAACCTTGCTCCCTTGCTATAAAAATTCTAGACTGAACTAATAATACTAGACGCTAGTTTGGAAACCATTTTGTAACGCTATTGGTCGTTATAATACCTTCACCCCATAACCAATTCATCATCAGAGCCAACTCATCATCGGGACCAATGATCAGTACCATACCAAGCTGGATCCCAAAAAGTACGTGGTTGCACACCTTCGCTTCTTTCATTACATAAGTGACCGCGATTAAGAGAATTCAAAGGCAAAGTTACAACCTCAGTTGGATCTTTAGCAAGGGCAATGCAACTACACATAGTATCCTCATCACTATCACTATCAACAAATCCTCTCATACAAAATCTCAATATATCATCAGTCAAAAGATCTTCATGTTCTTCCAATCTTGGCTCCCTACGAATAGGTCCCCCTCTAGTTCCATCCATCTCCCATAACCACCCGTCTTCACCCCTTACAAAAGCCACAAAATGTCGTCTCGGCTTCTCGAATTTTCCTGTTGATGATGCTTTATCCCCCAAAGCAGCAATAGCTTGGTGAGCATCTTCATAAATTTAGTCATTATATAACATCATTGCTCGGCCATCAGGTGCCAGGGGAATAGATCGTTGATAAAGTCTAGATAATATGGTTTCCGGGAGAATATATCTATGAGCCTGTCCATTTAAAAGGCAATGGAAGAGAACCATAGACCCACAAGCATCAGCAATTGCTTGTTTGAACCAAATCACAGGTTGATCAGGTCCACTCCCTTTATAAGGCGGTTTTGCCATTTCCTTTGCACGTGTAATTGAATTCCACGTAGACGTGAAAGGTATCGAAAAGAGGAGAGCATAGACAGGACGAGGTATGTTCTTCAATGAATTCATTCCAGTAAATGAACAGACATCGTAAAACTTGAGAGCGGGAGAAAGTCCAAGTTTAATGGCAAGTGCATTCATCACTTCTGATTTATTTTCTGATTTGTAGTCAGTGTTTTTTCTTGATCTTTTTTCTTGAGCAAAAAGAATGAGAATAAAAGTTTTCATACCAATTTTCGTAAAGGTCAGTCTATTGTCGACCATTCTTGCCCCTGATGGTCTTAAATTCATTTGAGGAGTCAGATTCAGAGAAGTCCCAGGATCAATGACCCTCGTGTCTGGCAATATAAGTACTGCTTTTGTTGTTTTCGAACAACTTTCAGGTTCCGGAATCTGGGATACCAGTGGTCTTGTCGGGAATTCCTCTAGTTCTGAATCTGACGATACCAGTGATTCTGTTGTTGAATATTCAAATTCCGGTTCCAGTCCAAAGACCTTATGTTTTGAATCATCAAGATTGATCTTTTCAGTTGCTGGAAAGAACATACCCGACGTATCATAAATATCAAGGTCGTCTGAGTTCGGATTAAAAGTCATGATGAAAGAATGTATAATATGGTAATATGTACAACTGCTTGGTGATACTGTGTTGTCCAAATTGCTTGATCAATAGCGTTGGTTTGACCTGTAACAAATGTGATGTGAATAATCATGAAGTTGAAACATTAATGATATGTAGAAAATAGCTGAGATAATAAGTCATGTCACTTCCTTCCTCTTCGGTGAACTGTGGAAATCAGGGTTCGAATAACATGCGAAGGTGCTTTTTGTGTTATGCCGCATTGGATTAACCTAATATTCATTCATAACTGCACTCCGATGATCTTTTACACCGGAACCATATCCATCAAGTCATCGCATATCATTCAACCGTAATCATGGGAATTATCTCCCGGGCACAAATCTACTATCGATCCATGGTCATCAAACTTCGTCACACATAAATCACTGCCTTGCACCTTCCACTTCTACAAAAGCACGATACTTCCCTCTCGACTCTCACTCCCAATTTTCCTTTCCAATCTCACAGCGACCAGCAATCCCAAACCTAACAATCCCGCTGCCAAAGCAAACCCACCCTTCTCATCTATCCATCCCTTTGTATCCCATCGTGAAAAATCGATAAATCCACCATTCTCACCCATCCCTTTCGCAAATCCTAAACTCCATACTCCCGTCCCCAAACAAGCACCTACTTGTTCCAATATCCCCATTCTCACATAGAATTTTTCCATCTCTGATCTTCCACTTCCTTTCCCTTTTCCTTTACAATTGATTTCATCCACTTCCGTTTCCAAATCTTGTAACAAACCTCGAACGGAAGTTATATATCTCCCTTCTCTCACATTATTCTCTTCCTCAAAATTATCAGAATCTCCTGGGCCCGAATCAGAAACTAAACCACTCCCCCAAGCAAGTAAAGCAACTTGCACCGGACTCCCCATCACACTTCCTCCAATAGCCAACCAGAATATTGCTCCTCTTGTCGTTGGAAGTGCCAAGAGTATTAAACTCATAATATTAGCCAGCAAACTCCATTTTAAAATCAAGAAGTCATTTTCCTCATTACATTCTATTCCTTCTCTTTCTTCAATTCCCGATTCATTTCCTTCTTCGTTGCGAATCAAAAAGACTCGTAATTTTCTTCTTCGATTCATGAATTTTATGATTCGTGGGAGAAAGACTAGTAGGATACTTGAACCCAATAAACAAAAACTGTAAATGGTAGTAGTAACATTGTATGGAAGATTTTGCGACAGACTAGTGAATTGAGGGTAAAGGATATGAATCTTTAGTGAGAAAGTGACGAGAAAAACTAGAGATAGAAATGAAGTTTGCAGATTAATGCGAGAATTTCGTTTCGTGTGTGATGGAAAAAAGTTTGTATTCGTAGGTGATGATACGGATGAGGTGTCGCGAATTGTTGAAGTTGGTATGGTTTCTGAATCGTCGTCTTGCTCGTTTTCTTCGTCGATGGAATCTCTGTACCTCCCCCTTTCCATACCTGTATTTCTTTCTAAACTCTGTGTGTTGGCATTTGACTCGATGAATTTTCCCGAAGGTAAAAGCATCGCAATTCCAATGGAAAGAATCCGGAATCCAACCGCAAGCGCACAGAGAACCCAAACACCATATTCATACTTCAACAGAAAGCCTGCGAATGAAAGAGCTTTGAAACTACTGAAAAGTTGTAGAGCCATGAGACGGTATAAGGTAGAGGATCTAGATTAGTTATGATCAGCATTTTTATATAAAGAAAAGGTTCCAGAATACATGAGACGCCTGGGAAATGCAAGGAAAAATATAATACGGTAAATCCAGGTACAAAGGCACTAGAGATAAAAGAGAAACATACAAACCCCCATTTTCACCCTCAGCATCCGCCTCTTCACCGATATAAGTATACAACAAACTAACCATAACCACTTTTCCGCCCCCTATCAAATCGGAAACCGGTATCAAATAAATCCATCTAATATCCCAAGTATCAGAATTCCAACCTATTTCCTCATCAAATATTAGCATCTCCACAAATTCCAACCTCTAAATCACACAACCTATAATTCCAACCCGAATCTAATTCTCCCTCAAATCTAATTACTTGGGAAGAAATGAAAAGAAAACTCACAAACAACCACCCACCACACTCCCCCCAAAACCCCACTCCCAGCAACCAACCCCACAACTCCCCTCCTCATCCCCCATCTCCCTGCAATCCACCCACAAGGTCCCGTTAACAATATCCCCGGAATATAGCTCAAAAACTGAAATATCCCATTTATCTCCGCTATCCTTGATTGTACTGGTGGGGATTTACAAATATCATCTGACGATAAAGATACCTCAGAAGAAGCAAAAGAAAGGGGAGAAGAAGAAGGAGTATAAGTGTTACAAATGTATCGTTCGATGAGAGGGAGAAATGTAGAGCTGAGTAAGAGAGAAGAGATAGTTGAGAGGAGAAGGAGAAGTGTTGCTATTTGACTGGGAGTTAAATTTTTCATTTTTGATGGGAGTGAAAGGGGTGGAGAGCGAGAGAGATTGAGAGGAGGGGCGAGAAGAGCGGGATAGAAGATTCGGCCGAGCATTATCTAAGCTGGTTCGTTTGGATTGAAAGTTCTATAGGGTAGAATAATTAATATGTCAGAATTCAATGAATTATATCAAATCACACCTCTCGCTTAGGTGACTTGAAAAGAATGGGGAGGAAAATTGAATTTAATAGGAGAAAATGATAAATGGAAAGATATGCTATAAGAAAGAACATGATAAGAATGAAGCGTATCTGAATAGATAAGATGGGATGAGAGCAATATAGTTACACAAATAAGAGTACAAGCAGGTACAAAGTACAAGTACAAGTACAACAGATTCCAATTCCAATAGGTATGTTCCCATGCATAAATAAAGTCTTGAGAGAACAATCGACAAATTAAATACCGACTCACCGATACCAGAACGTTCACTGTACAGAACAAGACATTTGTTTGTAGAAAATCTATACTGTACGGTCCCAACCCCGCTTCATAACCTTCTTTCCACTTCTGTACCCACCAACCCCTCTCCCTCTCTCTTCCTTCCAACCTCAACCTCGATCTCAGCCTCTTCCAATCCCGATCCCCAGCCTTCGCCTCCGCCTCCGCTCCTCAAATTCTAATTCCCTATCTCCCTATCTCACAAATCCACAAACCCCATGCATTCACCCGCTCTACTTCAAATCAAGAAGAAAAAGCACCACACTACTCCTACATATCCATGCACAAACTACACACCAAATATGCAAGTAGTTCTCAGCTGAAAATTCCAAGACGATGCACGACTTCGCCTTTGTACCTTCCCATCGTCGTACTAATATCAAGATTCCCAATCCGATTCTTCATTGTGAGATAAGATGAGATAAGATGGAAAGATAGGATGAAGATAAAGATAAAGAATGAAAAAAGAAGATCCGCTTGGTCTACTATAACCGTACTAGAAATTTCCACATCTATATGCTTAAATGCAAAACGACAACAGCTGATATTAGAACCAACCTAGATGATAAATAACTCCCATTTCTAATTCTAAAGCTTCCAATTTTAGTATCAATATGTCCTTCCCACCGGATCAATACCCGTCTTCCCAATGAAAATGCATACATACAAACATACATACAATATCAATACCACGAAACACAATACCACACCAAAATCTATCAAGTGCTCGTCCCTTATCTTCCCTTGGCTTCTCATCTAAACTCTTCACTCTAAATACCCAACCATCCCTTTCCCCTTTCATAAACATAAAAGCTTACCGCAACCATCGGCACAACCTTAACATAACCAATCGTCAACCCCACAAAGAAACCTCTCCATCCCCTCTCCCTAACAATCATCCTTGCCGTCTCCCCAATATGTAACCTTCTCCCATCTCCTACAGTTCCACCAACCTGCATTCTTCTCCTTATCACTTCCAAAGGATATGCGCTCGTTTGAGACACCAATCCCGCTACACCACCCGCAAATAATTCCGCCCACGATCTAAGCGGTGCTGGTTTATTCTCCGCATAATGTGCTGGTTTCGGAAGTGTCGTGTACTGTTTTATACTCTTATGTCTTAATAAATCTCCCGCTGTATCATGCGTTAAAAATGACATTCCAGCATATGGCAACATTCCTAATATTGTCGCCGAAAATCCCCTGTAAAAATTCGCCAACCCGCTCTTGGGAACGATACTCTGCACTGCATTTTCTGCTCCGGCAACTAGGCCTCCTACCCCAGTTGTTGTAGACAATTTAGGCTGCGGCGGAACTTCGTGATATATTCTTCTACAAATTTCTCCCAACCCCACGCTCCGTCCTTTGGTCTCGAATGCTAATCTAACCCTCATCACCTCTAGGGGATAAGTGAAAAATACACTTGTTACTCCCGCCAAACTACCGCTAATCAATCTTCTGAATGGCGTCTCGTATTCATGTTTCGGTATTATCGCTGCGCGGATTTGTTCATATGCTAGAAATTTAATCGCAGCGTATGGGAATATACGGAGGATAGTCGCAGAATGCCCGCGAAAGAGTCCACGTAGTCCCTCATCGCTGTGAATGTCTCGCATGGCTGTAATGTAACCAAACCAGGAGCCGGTGTATTTGGCGAATTGAGGGTTACTGGCTTGGAAGAGGATTTTTACTCGGTCGAGGGGGGCGACTACGGTTTTTGCCTGGGGTAAATGTTGTTAGATACATCTCTCTTGATGCCCTAGATATTTCTTCCTGTAGAGTCCCCAGGTAGAAGTCGTTGAAGATTGAAGAGAGAATACATACTGCACTACCAGCCAGACCCCCCGCCAACCCCGTTCTCCAAATATAATCCCAACTTTGTTTATTTCTAATCTCCTTCCCCGCGGGCTTTAGTTTCACCTCCTCTCCATACCCCTCCTTCTGCCCCATTCTCGACTGTTTATTCCCCAATACTACCGTATCATCATCCGTTGGACAGATAGCTGGCGCGGATTTTCTCCTCCCATCAGCGACTGCGCTCGCCATTGTTTCGACTGTATTATTGTCGTTTGTCTCTCGTGATCCGTTCTGTTTTGTAAATATATTTGTTGAGCTCGATGAGGCATGCTTGGTCATATCATTCCCATTTGTTTGATTCTTATTCTTCTCTTATCAATGAATGTACCATAATAATTTCTCATTCCATGGCGCAAAGTTTCTTTCAAGACTTCATTTGTAAATCTGCCAGTTATTCGCAGGATCTTAATGATCGAATTGTTCGTGACGTTCGTAATATTTTGAAGAGATACCTTCAATCAAATCGCATGTGTGTATAGGTATGTATCGTCTCTATTTCTATTTACAATCTTCTGGGACCCTTCACCCACAAACGTCATACTAGCGCCGTACAATTGGTCGGTACTCGGTAATCTTCCCCTCGCAGAGATGGATCACATATGATATGGATGTTTATTTTGCCATCACCAAATACAATCTTCAGAGGTTACTATTGCTTCAATATTCACAAAATTTAGACCAAATAGAAAGCTTCAATTATTGTACATTTCTTTTCTCTTGCAAACTTATAAAATGCGTTCCTTATTTTTGAAATCGAATTATTTCGTAAATCTTTTTCACACCTACCTAATATAGAGACCAAAATTCTCAGTATCAAACCTCGGGTCTACGGTATTCATCGGCTTAACTTTGTCAGCGTGATCGGCCGAGAGTTGATTCGTTAATATTTCCCTAGAAGTAATATTTCCCCAGATATCAGAGAAGAGCATGATATCTAAATGTCTAGCTAGAAGTCTCCGTTGAATTAATAATAGTCGGTCGATTATCAGTTAACAGCACATTCATATGACTATATATCAGGAGAACAAACTCCAAAAATGAGTTGGAAATTCAGAAGAAGAGTGGTATTTGCAAATTCAAATGTTCATATAACTACACCTTCAAACTTTTTCATCAATGTAAACCACCCATCCCTATTCCCATTCCATACCATTTTCATACCTAACACTTTTAGTGAGGACGATAGATGAAGCAAATAATCAACCATCATTGATCAACCCATGAAAAACAAAGTAGACCAGCAATCGCACAGATTATATACGGTTTTCCAACTCCCCATCCCCATTCCTATTTCCATTCCATCCCGCCCAATCACCATTTTGTAACACTCGCTTCCTACCCTTCCCATATGCACTTAATTCATCCATCCATCCAATCAACTCAATAATTTTTACTTTATACAAATGCTCTCAACCCTCTCAACCCACTCCCTTTTTTCTTTTCTTTTGGACTACTCTTTGAACTCTCTTCCGCACCGCTCCCACTCCCCTCCCTCCTCCCTTTATCTTTTCCACTATCCTTATCCTTCTTCACTGCTCCAATATTTCCAACTCCTCCTGTTTGAATGTTAGACAATAATCATAAAGAGTCAGAAAACACAAGAGACAAAGTATCATGTTTCTTTAACTTTTTTCAACTTTCAACTTTCTTCAACTTTGAATTCAATGTACGATTTACTAGACTGAAAAAATGATTTACTTACCACGACCATAGCCTCTCATTTCACTTTGCGGCTTAACCTTTGGCTTGGCCTGGGCTTCCAAAGAATCCCTATCACTATTATTGCCATCTCTACTCATTGTCCCGTCCGAATGTGACGAACCAGGAGCTGGGCCAAAGTTACTTGAATGAGAAAATCTACCTCCATAAAAATCTGGACTTGTAGGTGAACTTGTAGGTGTTGACCTAAATGCGTGGCCTGATGTTGGACTGTGAGAATCTATCCTGGGCCGAGCAACAAAACTTGATGTACCTGTAAGTGGAAATGTTGCTTTAGGTACAAGACTTCCCGGCCTTGTCGAATCTGAATAGCTATGAGTTAATCGACGATGATCTCTTGGAGGAATATGTGGCCCAGGTGATCCATCAATACTCATAGGTAAATCAGACACTCTATCTTGCGCCGTAAGTGCTTCCAGATAGTCTTGCTGTAACTTGGTAAACCGTTTCAAAAGATTAGAATGGGCTTTCTTCATATCATCCATGCGTCGTCGCGATCCAGCTAATGCCTCATCAATGACCTTTTGTTTTGCAGGATCGAGTTGTTTAAAACCAGTTTGATTGGCGTTTTGTGCTTCTTGAACTTCTTTTTGACATTTGACAATCAATTGTTGTATTTCCGCATCCTTGGCTTTTAATTTCATATTGAGGATTTCGATAGCATTGTACGCTTGTTCTTCATCTTGCTTCGCTTGATCCATTGCAACTTCTAAAGCTTCATATCTTCGTAACTTCGTAGTAAGCTTTTCGGCCTCGATGCGTAATCGCTCCAATTCTTCCTTATTTGATTCCACCACTTGAATTTCTTGAGTAGCATGAGAAACCTTATATTCGGCTTGAACGACCAATTGCCTTAGATTGTGTATATCGATTTTTGAAGCAGACAATTCACGCTTCAGTTGATCACCCTCCACTATCCACTTCTTTTGTTCCTCCTTCAATAATCTCAGTTTAGCCGTCAAATCAGATTCCCATTTCCTAGAATGATTTCGACTCTTGTCAAATTCTTTCTTCATCTGTACCATGGCTTTCTTGGCATCTTCCAATTTGGCTCTCAAGATTTTGTTGGAATTGATCAAGTTTTGAGTTTCGGCTTCGACTCTTGCTTCACGAATAGCCTTTCGACGAAGTTGTCCAATGTGAGTAAGATGTTGCTGTTTAAGATAGCGTTCAAAATTCAAGTCATTTTTCAATAACATAATATCTCTCTGTAAGTATGCAACTTTCGTAGAATCATTTGTCCCGGGTCTCAAAGATGGTGAACGAAGGGCGTGCGCACGGGTGAGTGATTGTAAGTATGAATCAACATGAGAAGTATTATCTTGGGCATGATGACTCAACGCAAGTGATTGTACGCTATCGTTCGTTAAAGTTTGATAGATACTACCTCTAATTGAACCAGCTCGTTGAGAATCCAGCATATCTTGTAAATGAGTATGTGAAGGCGATGTAGCCATGACTGGAGGTAATGTAGGACTATCTAATCGCCTTTCCGGTCTCAAAATAGGGGAATCCGCAATCGAAAGCATTGATTGACTTGTGAAAGATGCCCTTCTCAATACAGAATTTCGTAGTGCTTCTGGTGATGCAATGGTAGGCGGTCCAGCATATCTCCAACTTGCATGTCGAGATTGAGCAGGTGTGAATGCATTATGTTCTGTCAGTGGTTGATCTGGAACGTCGGCATTAGTATCAATGTGTAGATTTGGTAATTGTGATCTTGATAATGGAGCTTGTTGAGCATATCCTGGTATGTATAGTGCCATACATTCAGTCACAACATCCGATGCTTCACTTTTCATCCATCGATTAGTATCTGACAATTCCTGATCAATAGTCATTGTGAAGAAATTTGGATGTAAAAGATGAAGTTGTCTGAAAGGTTCAGATCGTTGTCTTATTTCCATAGGTTCAACTGCGAATTCATTGGCTCCTGGGAATCCTTGATGCCTTAGGAATTTTTGAGGTTTTCGAATGTAACTCATAAAATTCATTGGATAGAGGCCGTAAAGAAATGTGTAATAGTGTAACAATTCCGGAACAGATACATCTTCCGAATCTAGCAAGTAAGATAATTTAGTCCATGAACTTGTACTGTGAGTACTTCTGTCATCTTGATCGTCAGATGCCGAATTATCCTCATACTTTCGTTCCCGATCCCAAAAAAGCATTCTACTGTAGATATTGAAAAGCGCAGGGAGGTGCCTGGAGAGAGAGCTTGGAATATGAGGTAGGAACATAATCAATGCCGTCATAGCCAATGATACCACTCGAGTCGAAGTATCTATTTGTAAACATCGTAGGAGATTCTCGAAGAGAGGAGTTTGAAGGAGTTGATGTAAGTGAGGAGGTTGATGTCGAATGAATTCGCAAAGTAATGAGAGGGCAAGAATTCGACTGTCTTTTTTAACGAAGAATTGGTTGATGGCAGTCAAGAAGTTCTATAAACCGTTAGAATTTAACCTCCATTCTCGGATTATAGTGTACATACCTTTGGTCTCTTCCTTCCAAATGATATAAGTATACTCCTTAATTGACTCTCGATGAATCTTGAATTCTCATCAAGGTTTGTTGCGACACTGTTACACTTTGCCAACCAGATCGCAATTAAATTCTCTGCCACTGTATCCGAAGTAGTAATGGCATCTTCTACATGGTCCTCATCTTCGTCGTAAATAAGGATTTCCAGTAAAGTGTTCCTAGCTTCCAAAGCCAATCCCTTCTCTTCTCCAAGATGACTCAATACTGGTATACATAATTTATCCCACCATTGTAGCATTCTACCACCACCCTTTATCGAGATTCGTAATCTTCGCAATATGGATAGGAAGGGGGCATAGCGGGTAGGATGGTCACAGATATCCTTTTCATAAATGGAGAGTAATTCCTCCTGAATTTTCGTGGCGTCAGATTCATCGTGGGTAGAATTCTTCTCAAGGTAGGTATGGATAATTCGCACAAGGTCGTCGGGAAGTGGTAATCGGGTAGAAGTTGTTACTGATGTTTTGATTGCTTTCGTCAGGTCCTTGAGTGAACTGTATTAGAAATTGTTAGTTGAAGACATAGAATGATGAACATGGAAATACCATACCCGGAAGACATCTTGTCTTCTTCATTGATAGCTCTAGCAAATAATGCTCCTCTTGAATGCTTTACCAAGCTTTTCGGTCATGCCTCTAAGCTCTTCTAAGATGCGGGGTCCTGATCCTATCTCTCTACTTTTCTTCAAATCCGTCCGATCAATCAATCAATCAATCAATCAATCTGTTTGTTTCAATTCCTTATCATATCATTATCGAAAGAAAAAAGGCACCGTCTACCATCTCCTCGCTTGGCACATGGGGAATAATCTCCTTGACAGAAATCTAGAAATAATATTCGGCATGCAACAAGGTATCGTAGATCATCTGCAAGTATTCATGTTGGGAAAAAGTGGTGCGAAATTTGGTCAATCTTTGTTACTGACGTTGGAAAGAAAATGTCCCTCAAGTACATGATTCACAAGGGTTCACCTCCGCCTTGCAGGAGCTTTCATCCTTGTCCATTTATTTTCTTTTTTCTTGGAACTTTATATGGAGAAATTGATTCATTTGTTCTGATAAGATGGAGAAGCGAAAGACGGTAATATTACTCTTATCGCCGAATCAGCTGATGGGAAGTTGGTTAAACGTCATAGAAAGAGAGGTCACTAAGTGAGTGAGCATCTGGAAATGCCTAGGTGTAATAGGTACCAACTAGGTAGGTAGATAGGCTCGAGATAGGTATGTTGGAAGGGTATAAAAAGTTAGACGTGATAAACATTTTCCTATCCACTACCGGTATCTACCTAACCACTGCTAGGAATTCTTTGAACCTTTCGTTACATCATATACCACAAAAATCCTCTAATTTCCAACTATTCATGCCAACTCCAAAAATACTAAAAACCATAGATACCACAATATCAGAGTACCGTATCACCATCACCCCTTCTTCCCTTGAAAGGTTATTCGTCCTCATAGTCAAAGCATCTGGATGAGTATGAGCAGTGGTATCTCCAGAACTAATCTAATGAGGTGTCAATGCAAGTGTCATCCTCTATAAATCAACTGTCTCACCCCTAAATCCCCCAAACGCTATTTGATTACCTTGAAGTATACTCGCCTGCTTACCCCTCAATTACCGAGCTTCATTGCTCCTTGCAACGGCATCCTCTTGCATAATATACGATTAAACTCTACTAAACCTCTTTCTGTTCTCAATCTGTATATAAAATCACTCATAAAACTATAATCTAAATATCCTCTCACCATCTCATCCTGATGACCTAAGTCGTCCTGGAAAATCACCATTCATAAATTATGCGTTTTGATCACCTTTCCAATTAACAGCCTTCCAACCAACACCTACCTACTCACTCACCTCACAGCAGTCTCTACCTCACCCCGTCCACCCACATAATAAACTTTTCCCCATCATTGCCCATTCCCTTCGACTCCACATCCCTTAACTTTCCCCCCTCTCTCAAAATTTCATCCTCAACCTCGTCTCACTTTCTTTAAATCAAATGCTCATCAAACCAAGTCACAGCCTGAATAAAAGCCTGTTCCTTGGCATATTTCTCCACCTTCTTGCTCAAATCACATCTAACCGAGAATCCATGAACAGTTTGACTGTACAAGTTGATTTGATAAGTAGCACCGATTTCCTTGAGGATTTCTTCTGATTTGTGACGTTTTTCGGATGGGAAAATTTCGTCGGTTTCAGCGGCTGCGATGGAGAAGGGTCCCTTGATTGCGCGGAGTTCATCTTCATCGACGAAACTTGAGTTTGTTAGTTTGTTACTCAAGGGTTGGGGTTTAAACTAGGGTAGTTTTGGGGATTGGAAAAAGGGGAAAGAAGGAAATGATATGAAAAACGTACGAAGGATGAGCAACATATCCCACATCAATACCCTTTCCTTCAGCCATAAATCGAGCGACGTATTTAGCACCAAAACAGTATCCAGCAGCTCCAATCTTAGTGTATCCCTTAGACTTCAAGAATTCAATGGACTTTTGAATAATAGGATCAACGTGTGGAAATGTATGTGGGTTGTTTCCATCAGAACCCTTGGTCAACCATTGCATAAAGTCGAAATCTTCAGGGCGATTAAGAGAAAGTGCGTCGCCATTAAAGACATCGGGGATGATGGTGTAGTAACCGTTGGCGGCATATTGATCAGCCATCAATTGGGAGTTTTGCCCTGGTTAAAGGAATTCCGATTAGTTGCTTGAAGTTGAAATCATTGTGAATATAGTAGAGGAAATACATACAGATACCGATAACATCTGGAATGTAAAGAATGGCAGTATCCTTGTAAACCTTTTCTTTAGGTTCAGCAACATAGGTCTCAATAGTATCAGCAATCTTGATGGTTGATCCAGTTGGTGTACCCCTAAGATAATATTTCTGTAAGCTTCAAATTCATAGACCCGAACCCCACCAAGAGCTCATCTCATCGAGAGAATAAAAACTTACTCGTGCTTAACACCTAGGGTGCAGCATCTTTGAGGTGGGTTTGAAGCCATTTTTAATATGTATCGAGGTTTGAAAAGTAGATTTATATTCAGGTTTTGATATAAAAGGTAAAGGAAATCACCAAGGTTATTGATCAAAAACACAACAGCAACAATCGATACTTATAATAAAAAATTACGCAGGCACGCATAGATCTAGAATGACCAAATCTACCCCTCCACTAGGCTATTTACCAGGTAGGTAGTGGAGCTGACGGGGCCATTGATGTGAATGCTTATCAAATTCACATTTCATGACTGGGAAGGAAGAGGTTATATCCGTGCTGTTAACTCCATCGCAATGGTATAATTCCGAAGAAACTCATCGGAGAAAAGGATTGCGAAGCTCGCTTTTCGCAGTGGATGCTTTTATAGGAAAGTCATTGCGGAAAACTGTGGTTAATGCGGGAAGGAGTTGTGATCATCAATGAAGCCATATGATTGGTGATTCGCCATAAGATGCCTTGGTAGTACTGGTAGATAGGTAATGATGGGATTGATGACGATGTTGTGTGAAAATAATCGTTCAGATGGTGGAAACGCTAGAAGCCGGACAAGCTTTACGAGATATGAGTGGTGGGCATTCACCAGGCTCTCGCCCTGGTGGTCTTCACGAAAACATGACTAAGCGACGCATCAGAAACCCCAAGAGAAAGATACTCGCGGGTAATTGTGCTTATCGCGTCAAATGAATCCCGATAATATTTCCTGCGCTTATTTTTATCTGATACTGGTGATTTCAATCAAATAGCTTCAAAACCCAATTCCACATCAACAATGGCAGCACCACTTACGGCCGTCGCTCGAGCGCCCAAAATGGGTCGCAAAGAAGTATTTCTGTACGATCTTCCCTCACCATCCCGCTTCTCACCATCTGGAGACTAACTCCTCTTCTTACTATAGTCCCAATTTCACCATAACTCTTCTCCGCACACCAAATCTACCACCCTCCTTCGCTTCTTTTATCGTGCCCCTCAATTTGAACAAATTAGACTTAAGAGATTATTTATGGAATGCATACGGAATAGAGGTTCGAGGAGTACGAAGTTATATTCAAGCGCAAAAATTGAGGGAAGGAAAACCAGGAGCAAAAGTACCAACACCTAGGAAATGGTTTAGGCCGAGGAGTATCAAGAGGATGATGGTGGAGATGGATAGACCATTTGTGTGGCCTGAAGAGCCCAAGGACTTTTCTGAGTATGTTTTATTTTCGATTGCGGAGGATTTCTATATCTTTGGCGGGGAAATGATTGGTGTAGTGGGGGAAAGTCGAGGGAATGAATGTTTGAAAGAAAATCTTAGAGTGGAGAATTGGAATGCACAAGCAAAAGCACAAATGCTAATCATTTGATACTTCTAGTTGGGATCAAGAAGGAGTCAAGAAACGTCAAGAATACGAACAAGAATTACAAGCAGGTCAATATCCGGATGCCAAACAAAAGCCCAGCAAAGAACGTCTATCGATCGCAGAGCAAGCAAGGAAGATTTTGCAAGGAAAAGAGAAATGGGCACCTACGAGAGATACTTGGATGAATGTAGGAGAGGAAGTTGAGGTTGAGATGGATGTGAAGGTTCCACGTATTGGAAGACGGGAATAGTTGAAGATTTGAGGAAGTGTAACCATTAAACTTTGGAAGAGCATGTATATGGCGAGATACATTGTATGAATAATTCATTGAATGGGGTATATGAACATGAAGAATAAAAACATCTATGCACCAATTCGGATTTGACATTTTTCGTTTCAGGGTTTCTTTCAACCATTATCATTTCAATTGTTTCCCACTCGCAACTATGTTGAGTCCTTGGACTGATATACTAAAGATTTTTGAAAGAGCTCATTGGTGGTGTTGTAGCTGATTAGAACCTCCAATGTTGCTCGGCTGCCTCTGAAATCGTCCAATTTGTACTTTGACGCATTAACATCATTCACATAGTTTCCCAACAATATCAGCCCGAATGTATTTCCAAATTTGACAATTGATATCCTTCTCTCTTCACTCCCGGTCACTCTTTTCATCCTCTCTATCATGTCCATCATTTACTTTTAATACATCAACTGTTCTATCAACATCATCACAGCCTTCCTCAACAACCCAAGCGTCATCATTCTGAAATTTCAAAAGTTCATTTCCCCACCCCCACCAGCCAGCTGTGAGATTCCTCGCGAAGATTTCTAAACCCCTATAATCTTGCAACCCTAGTAGTTGTCCAAAAAGAAACCTCAAGTTAGGTTTTCGTGAGTGTAAATCAGGGACTCCAATTATAATCCTTCGTTTTATGGGGAGGTTTGAATTTTCAGATTGTGATGGAGTTTGCGAGGGTGAGGGTGAGGGTAAGGATGAGGGTGAAGATTGATTTGATCCCTCGAGGTCATATTCTTTTTCAATATTCAATTCCTCATTCCCAACAGACTTCTTGAATCCGGAGTCTCCTACTCCAACACTCTCCCTCTCATCTTTCTTCCGTCCCACAAGTAAAATCTCCCATGGTTTCCTCCATGTCCCTAAAATCTCACACATCGGTTCACCATTTGATGTAACTTTAAGCCAAATCCATTCTTCAATTAATTCAAGACCCCAGTGATCAAACATCCCTCCTTTGTCCAAGAGCATGGAGCGGAAAGCGGGTTTATTAGTTATCCATATTCCAACGTAACCATTGTGTTCTATCTTATGGCATGGTAGGCTGTATTTGATCAGAAATTTAGCTTGAGATTTTAAGAGAGGATGTGGTTGATAAACCTAGATACGGAAATGGAGCTATATATAAAGAAACGGATGTACATCAAATACGCAATCAGACATGATAAAATGTAAAATCAGAGTACAGTCAAAGCCGAGGGAGAGCTCGAGAGAAGAACAAGGAATTAGAAACTTACAATCTCAACAAACTCTCTATTCCTCCAAATCCCGAAGCGGTAGCATAAGAATCTTTCCGGAAAGCAGATCGATTAGGCCAAGGGGGGTCGGCAATTATCACTTTGAATTTTGGAAAGTCTTGATGTATTTCTATATTGGAAGAAATGTTACTTCCAGGTATATTGCCAAATATCATTGTAGATTTAGGTGGCATTGTTCCCGAAACCCCATTGATATCAACGTGTTTTGAAAGTTCCGATGCATTTTCAACTTTGATGACGCTTTGCTGAGATTTCTCCGTTTCTTCTGGGACAAATTTCCTTTTCCTTTTGGGTTCCTCTAAATTATAATGATGTCAATAAATTTGCCAACTAGATCTAGAATTTAGACAATTTCATACTCATCCTAAACTTAAAAGAAAGAGAAGGAAAAAAAGGTAGAAAATTTTAAAGACAACATTCAAATAAACTCACCATCTTCTCCCCAAATCCTCTCTAAACAAACTTTCCCCTCCCATCTCTCATCCCTCATCATCTCATCAAGCGCAAGTTGAACATAACGCTCCAACATCAATTCCTCAATTCTCTTCTCTGGAGCATTCCTAAGAGCTTTTGCAGATTTAGGTTCGAGTGATGGATAGGGCGTATCTATTGGTTTACAAGATATTAACCTTTTCTCAGTCTTCGGACGCGAAGCGTATTGTTCAGAGGAAAGTGATTGAGCATCTTCGATTGATTGCGGGATATCAATTAAGGTGACAGTTTTATTGAAATTTTGATAAAGTATGTGTGATGGGAGGTTTAATGTTTGATTACTTGGAACTTTCGACTCGGCCATAATCCTACACGCCTTTTCGTATGTATGAAACTCCTCCGCAGATGTGAAGAGAATATCACGTGATTGGACATCAACCTACCATTCGCGAGATTTGAATTTGGACTTTTGTATGTGGTTTCAATCAGTCACAACATCATAATATCACCACGGCTTTAGATGATATTCTGTACGGTTTCAAACTGTTGACATCGAAGTACTACTTTTTGAATCTTGACTTAAGGGTTCAGTGTTATGGTATCTTTTGACACATTCCCCACCATAGAACTAGAGGCCTTCCGCAGATCGCTCTCATTTCGAAGTAGTCTTGGACACTATCAGTGTGATCACTAGGTATATAGGTAATTTCAACGAGCTAAATCGATTGAGGCTGGTGAATTTCGAACTTTAGATTCTACAATCAGAATGATGGTAGTTCCTGACTCACACCTTGAATTTCTTCGTCATGGAGTGACTTTGAACGCAGGAGGGTCTTCAGTCATGTATACACACAAGCTCTAAGTGACGCTGTACAGTGGGATATTTTGCTTTTATTAATGAGGTTATATTTATGTCTTTCAATTGTTGACTTTCAATTTCAACAATTAAAAGTTACTTTTGTGCCATCAATCACGTCCATACTCGGATATATCAAAATTCAGGTTCAGGGCTCCCTTTAATCTAACGCCAGGTCTCCTTAGGATCTCTTTGGAGCTTCACACAAACATCTACAAAATTTAGAAGGTCGTTCTGTGTTGTAGGATTTGATCCCAATACAACGAAAAGATACCTCATTTCTACGAGGTTGCCGTCAAATTTATGATGATGTCAAACCTATTAAGCTGTCCACTTTTCTATTCCATTTTGCAAGTACTTTCTTTATGGTCGATACACTTATTGGATTGTCAACCTGAGAGATCGAGGACCTGGAAATCAGATCAATGTGGATAGGGATTCTGAAATATTACTATCGCAGCTCGAAGTAGACTTTCTATCGACGGGTACTTGTCGTCATAACAAGGGGAAAGATGCTGATCATATGAACAAGGGGAGTAATGAGTGAAAAGTTGGAGACACTTACTAATATGACTTGGGATGAGATCAAAGAGACCAATTACTCTCCACCAAGAAGTAAAACAATTACTCATCTATCCCTGTGATTTATTATATTGAACTAGGATTATCTGACTACAATTGTCCGACTCTTCGTTGAAGAAAGACGGATGATAAGACTATTTATTTGGGATGGGCATTATAACCGATTTCCCCACTATATGCACGTCCCTACTACGTGCACAACTTTGAAAATATCAATATTATGGCTTCAAATATTGATAATATATTTTTAGAGATTTGTATAAAACTTATATTAAATTATTTGAAAGGAATTCAAACTCCTAAATATATTTAAATAATTAATTTCTTTAAAATTGATTAATCCATATTCTTTCAATAATATAAAAATAAAATCACCTCAAAAAAACAATTCCTTTTTAATACAAAATAAATATTTTCTAATAATTAAAAGAAGATTTTAATTAATTAAATTAATAAGTTAATATAAAAATCTATTTCTCCTATAAGTTATATAATTAGAAATCTTATAAAAGAGATTCTAAATAAAGAGATAAAAAAGAATTAAATTAATAATTTTATTAAAAGATATTTAATACATTTTAAAAATTAGTATTTCTATAATATCAATAATTTGTATATGAAAATTGATAATATTACTATATTTAATTATTTTTATAATCTAATTTAAGCTATTTTCTATTATTATTGATTTTTATTATCTAAAACACTTTTACTAATATTTTATTTTTTTTAATTTAATTAATAAAAGTAATTATAAAATATAATATATAATTGAGAAATATATATAATTGGGATAAAAAGAATTTTATAATTAATATAAAAAGAATTATAAAAAGAATAATAAGTATTAGCATTTATAATAAAGATAGAATAATAAAAATTAAATAAAATAAATTAAAAGAATTTATTATTTTATTAATAGTTATATATACTAATAGAATAGTTTTTTTTTATTTTTTTTTATAAAGAAAATTTAGGGAATTTACAAAATATATAAATTTAGAATATAGAGAAAAAGAATAAAATTTATTTTAAAGCTTTAAGTAATAGGTGATTATTGAATATTTTTGATCTATATTAACTTATAAATATATTTAATTTTATTATATATTAAAAGTAAATAGAAAAGATTATCTATTTATTATTAATAATTATTCTAGTTATATTAATATAGAATTCCTTTTAAAATATAATAAATTAAAAATTATTATTTTAATTCTTCTTTTTTATTCTATATATTAATTATAATCTTTTAATATTAGAATCTTTGGTATTCTTTTAATGAATTATAATATATTATTAAATTATTTAATATATAATAATAAAGGAATTGTTGATATAATAAAAAATATATTTTGAAATATATTTAAAAAGGCTTAAAAGCTTATTTATATAAGGTATAATATCTTATAATCCTTTAAAAAAATAAGTATATATTTTATAAATAAAAATCTTATAATTAACTATATTATTCCAAAAACTCCTTTTATATTATCTATATTATTTAAAATTTATAGGGATATTTTTGCTATACTATATATATCAAAATTAATATATAAAATGAAATTAGAATTTCATTACACTTCTATTTATAAGATTATTTTAAAGCTTTTTAAGATTATAATTATATTAGAAACTAAAGCTTTTATATAAGGATATAAATCTAAAGATTTAGAAAAAACTCTAAAATTTAAAAAAAGGAAAAAAGTTTATTTAAAATATTTAAATTTTATTAGAGAGGAGAGGAATAATATATTTTTATAATTACTTTCTATTATTATTAAAATTAAAATATATTAAGAAAATAAAGTATTTAAAAAAAACTAAAAAAAAAGCTAAATTTCAAATAAAAACTAAAAGAAAACTAAAAAAAAAATAAAAGGAAATTGAAACAAAAAAGAGAATATTATAGAGAAAGATTAATTATCAGATTATATATAATACAAAAAGGAGATTAAAAAGACTCTAAAATCAATAAAATCTTTAATTAAAAGAAATAAAAAGTTTCCCAAAACTTTTTTTATTATAAATTTAATATTAATAAAGATTATAGAGCTTTTTAATACTATAAAGACTAATAATTCAAAGAAAAAGAAAAAAAAGATCATATTACAATCTAATAAAAAGCAAGTACTACAAGTTCCATTGAAATTTAAAATCTAAAGATTTTATTATATTTTTAGATAGTATCATATCTTATCATTTATTAATTAAATTACTAGCTCTTTATTTTATAAATTAGAATTATTATTAATTTTTAAAGTGATTCAAAATGGGTGATCAAGATCGTGCATATAGCAGGGACGTGCACGTAGTAGGGAAATCGGTTAATTTGGATAACCACAATGGTATAGGTTCATATTCATACTTAAAATTAAATTCTATTTACATTAACCTTGTAACTTTGCGTACTCGCCAAGAAAGCTTCACGAGGTATGGATTCTCGAGGTATTTACACTTCGGCTGAAATATAATACATAGGAAAGTTGACCTTCGATCTACCTCAAAACATTAGAGATCACTGACCGCACTTTCTTCAATGCATATGAATTCATTTCTCATTTCTTTTCAACCAACCAACCACATAGTCTAATCCTCGCATGCAACCCTATATTAAGACCCGGAAAAGTTCTCTACCGGGTACTACATGTACCCTAGAACACCGACATTAAGACGTGTGCCCCGCATTGCGGGGATGCGTGGGAGTGACATTATTCCCTGTATTTGCCAAAGCTTTTAAATGAAATGGACATGTCCTTATCCGATACTATGTTTATACCGCCAGCATGGATGATCAATTAGGAAGAATTTGTCTAGTACCGGTTCATTTACGGGCGACCCCCATTCATCTGAACTTTAATATCACTACGAGTATAAAATAAAGAGATGCTCGAAGCTTTTGCCTATGAATATCCAGAAGAAGTTTCATTAATAAGTTTCGACGTTCAACATGTTTTCACCATCACTTCTCCTCGCTTATTCCTCCTTAATTCTCCCCACGCTATGTTCTCCCACTCACAATAAAAATGGCCTAATAGTCCAAACAACAAGTGGTGAACTTCACGGCTTCATAAACCAAACCACACCACAAGTTCGTCAATTTCTAGGAGTACCATACGCCAAACCTCCTATCGGAAACTTGCGATTTGCAGCACCACAAACGAAAATTAAAGGATCATCAATCAATGCTACCAGGCTCCCTCCTTCATGCATGCAACTTGCCAGTAATAGTTCGACAATATATACAAATGTTGTACCTCAATTTTTAATTAATGGAGGACAAAGTGAAGATTGTTTGTATTTGAGTATTTGGACTCCTGCTACACCGACAAATCAAAGTCTTCCCGTGTTTGTTTATATACCCGGAGGTGGATTTATAAGTGGTGGACAAGATTCCTTATACAAGATTCCAGATCAATGGGTTCAAAAAACTCAATCCCATATTGTGGTTGTGATGAAGTGAGATTTTCATACTCTTCTCATTCCGCTGATTTATATACTAATTGTATCCCAAAAGTTACCGTGTAAATGTTTTCGGATTTCCAAATGCAAAGGCTATTACGGAGGATCGAAACCCTGGTTTACTTGATCAAAGGAAAGCGTATGTTTAATCAACTCTTCTCCCATTATTCACTGACTAACAAATCTCAGTGTCGAGTGGGTTCACGAAAATATTGCCTCCTTTAATGGAGATCCTGATCGAATGACACTTTGGGGTCAATCAGCTGGTGGCGCATCCGTAGATAGTTACGGTTATGCATACCCAAATGATCCTATAGTAAAAGGTTTAATCGTCGATTCTGGCTCTGCATATCTTCTCGGTAGTACCGATGCTCCTCAAGCAAATTTCACTTCTCTCGCTGGAATGGTCGGATGTAAAGATCTTGCGCCAGAAGCAGAAATTGGATGTATGAGAAATGTTTCAG